GACAGGGCATCACAGTATGGTAGGGGCGTAACATTTCCGTCACACGCTTGAGGTATTCGGCCAATCATAACGCACTAGATAGCTGGCCAATCAGAGCACACCTCGCTTTTCAGACCTATGAGCTTTGTAAAAATCGATGCGTTTCAGAAAGACGGGGCATGGAGGAGAAAAAATAATGTACAGTATTTGGAAAATAATGTGTTTTTTTTAACCTTAAAACGTATTTCATTACACCAAATACACAAAATAATGTTCTTTTTAGCAACATCATATGACCCCTTTAAAGAAAACTTACGAGAATGCTTGCAGTATAATAATACTAAACTAGTAGTTTACTGAGACTATACTTCCAAGGTGTACTAAAACTGCTACAAGTATTTAATTAGTAAACTATCAGTATACCTATAAGTTCACTTTTAGTATAGTTGCAGTACAAACTAAAAACATAGATGTAAACTAGTTGTGTACTCAAAGTTTACTACTGTTATCCTTAAAGTATACTTAAAAGTATACATTTATATACTAGAAAGTGGGCCAATTTAGCAGTAGCCCCTCACTGCAGAAAACAAGATCCAGGGAGCGTGGTTGGATCCACATCTAGGGGGTGAAGATTGGTAGGTTTAGGGATCAGGGGGTGGAGACGGGTGGGTTTAGGTATAGGTAAGGTGGAAGGAGTTGGATCTGGATCCAACCACGCCCCCTAGATCTTGTGTTCTGCAGTGAGGACCATCTCCAATTTAGACCCAAGGAGTACTGAAAAAGTACACTTACAAGTATACTACTAGTACATTGATATTTGTATACTTACTACATATAGTATACTTAAAAAATATACTTGAACTTTACATAAGTACACTTAAAATAAACTTGAAGTATACTTCTCTTTGGTAAGGGTGACTTGACTTGTTACAAAATTAAAATTTTGATTCCTCTTATCGATTCCTTTGTGCACATTTTAACATGACTTTAAACCATTTAAGCACAAGAAGACTCGCGCTCTTCTTTCTGCACTACACACACTTCCAAAGCACACGCACAGAAAAAGTGATTTTATACGATTTTAAAGCATTCAGGTTTTTTTTTTCTGTTAGTTTGCTTTACCTTATTGGAATCAAAATTAGAAATAGATAAGAATCAGAATCGATAAGCAGAATCTGAATCAGAATCATTAAAATTCTAATGATGCCCAACCTTACCCATACCCCATTTTTTTAATCCCTCATTTCTTTGATCAAACCTTTCACTTACCCTTCTTTGCTTTTGCACTACTTAAAAACATTCACATAATCTTACGTGGACTTACTTTTCAAAATGTGTTATAAAACAATTACTCCTGGCAACAGGAATAGCTTGTATGTTTGCTTATCACAGCATCAAACATGGCAATTTATGAAATTAATATAATGTTTTCCAAAATCACTATAACATCAGTTGTATTTGAAATAATTTGCCTCTTTGGTTCCATGTTGCTTCTTATCACAGAATGAGACAGAAAATATATTATTCAATAATCATGATCTTCAGGGAGCTGTACAGGGCAATCTGGGCATTGTTCCCTGATTTTGGAGGCAGGCACTGTCAAGAGAGGGTCACTTTATTGGATTTACCTTCTGTGAGCATATGATGATAAAACACAGCTGGCTGGTGATTGGTTATTACCTACTCTCACAGTACAGCTATACTTGTACAGGTGACAGGTCACTCTGTGAACTCTGTTCATGTACATAACGGCCTAGCAATGTCCATGGGGCTGTCAGCTGAAAAGGCTGTTAAAATGCAGAACAGGTTTTTTTTTATTTATTTTTTTTATTAGTAAAACCATATTGGGTACTCTTCAGGATTTTGGATTTCACCATTTCTCCTGTCTTTCTTGCCTGGGACATGACACTTGGTCCCCAAACCATAAAACATGAGATTTTAGGGCACTGTTTTCTAAGAATGAATCCTGAAACCTTGTCTTCTGATTCTTTTATTTTTAGATCAACTAATCTTCTTTCTAAGACAACATGAAACTATCCAATGGGAAAACAAACCTATATTCATATGTGTATTGATTCCTAAACTTTGCTTGTTTTTTTTACTCTTCCATGTAAACATAACATTGTCACAGTGATTTGTGGACTGTGATACTTGCAGCTGCAAGATCATTATCATGTTGTTGTTACTGTTGTAGAGATGTTGTGAACACAGCATTTTGTGATTAAAAGGGTCATGTGATATTGTGGCATGTGATGTGACATCACGTGATATGATATGACATGACATGAAATGACATATTGTTAAGTCAATGTGTAATGTGAAGAAAATGTAAAAAAAATGAACAGGTTTGTTTTCTGCTGTGCCTTTAAGAAACATCCCTTTCACATGAGCTGTGCTAATCTCAAAGTTCTATATTATATAGTACATTGTTAAGTTTTCTGTCTAATATAGTTTTTAACTGAACCACACTTAAGTGTGTGGCAATGTCTGTTATATTGCGACAATGCACACGAAATGTGCTACTCACATTGAATTACATCATTACTGCATAAAGTAATGCCAGTAAAGTATGCCAGCTGCATAAAGTAAAAAAAAATATGACCAGTCTTAAAATAAAAAACAAAAAAAGATGACTAACTTTTAAAACTAGTCTAAACCTTTTATGCAACCGGCCCCAGATTGAAATCAGATCTTTTAAAAATAAACTTCAGCCACTTGTTTCTAAAGTTGAGGTTAACTGCTAGATATTAAAGAATAATAGCATCCATTCTGCTTTATCTTTGTGACTTTAAGTGTGGCTGATTGTGTATTGATGTGTTTATCACTACAGCAAATGGTCTTTTTGGACTAAGGACAAAAGTTACAGTATGTTTTCGTGATCTTTTGAGATAAGATAGCTTGACGATTAAGGAAAATTGGATTGCTCATGATATGAGCCCACTCAATGTACAGTGGTTGATGTTTTCACATCTTCTGTTGTATGTTGGTTGATGTTTTCACATCGTATGTTTTGTTACATTGTTCTTGGCAATTTCTTTTTCGGGTATCCCCACGTTTATTTACAGTTATACATGAGTATATACATATACCTAGTAGCTATACCTCAGTATATACATATACCTATTCAGCTATGTTTTGAGAGCATTATCACTCAACCACACAGGTCAGTAAAGAATATTTATTTGACTGAACATTCTCATGTTGTTCAGTTTTGAATGTTAAGAGTTCCTCAGCAGATTTTAGTGTTAGTTACTGAGTAGGAGGAGGAGGAGGGGGTACATGGTCTGAAGGGCCCTGGCAGAGACATGGTGGAAGGAAGGGACAGATTGGATAAATAGAGGTGGGTATTTTTACAAAGCCACGGTAGGGGAACTCAGGGCGGCCCTCAGGTCTTTTGTCCCTGCCCTTGTCTTCATGGCTTCCATGATCTGGAGGGCCCCCTCGGTCAGGCCTTTTGTCCCTGCCCTTGTCTTCATGGCTTGCGTGTTCCGGATGGCCCCCTCGATCAGGCCTTTTGTCCCTGCCCTTGTTATCATGGCTTGCGTGTTCTGGACGGCCCCCTCGGTCAGGCCTTTTGTCCCTGCCCTTGTCCTCATGGCTTGCGTGTTCTGGACGGCCCCCTCGATCAGGTCTTTTGTCCCTGCCCTTGTTCTCATGGCTAGCGTGTTCTGAATGGCCCCCTCGGTCAGGCATTTTGTCGCCCCACCCCCTACCACCCAACCATCTGCCCTTGTCCTCATTGTTTGCATGTTCTGGACGGCTCCCTTTGTCAGGCCTTTTGTCCCTGCCCTTCTTCTCATGGTTTGCGTGTTCTGGATGGCCCCCTTGGTCAGGCCTTTTGTCTCTGCCCTTCTCCTCATGGCTTGCATGTTCTGGACGGCCCCCTTGGTCAGGCCTTTTGTCTCTGCCCTTGTCCTCATTGCTTACTTGTTCTGGGCGGCCCCCTCGGTCAGGACGTTTCTCCCTGCCCTTGTCCTCATGGCTTGCATGTTCTGGACGCCCCCCTTGGTCAGGCCTTTTGTCCCTGCCCTTGTCCTCATGGCTTGCGTGTTCTGCGCGGCCCTCTTGGGGAGGCCTTTTGTCCCTACCCTTGTCCTCATGGCTTGCGTGTTCTGGGCGGCCCCCTTGGTCAGGCCTTTTGTCCCTGCCCTTGTCCTCATGGCTTGCGTGTTCTAGACGGCCCCCTTGGTCAGGCCGTTTGTCCCTGCCCTTGTCCTCATGGCTTGCATGTTCTGGACGGCCCCCTTGGTCAGGCCTTTTGTCCCTGCCCTTGTCCTCATGGCTTGCATGTTCTGGACGGCCCCCTTGGTCAGGCCTTTTGTCCCTGCCCTTGTCCTCATGGCTTGCATGTTCTGGACGGCCCCCTTGGTCAGGCCTTTTGTCCCTGCCCTTGTCCTCATGGCTTGCATGTTCTGGTTTTTTCTCTCTCCTTGTCCTCATGGCTTGCATGTTCTGGACGGCCTCCTCGGTCAGGCCTTTTGTCCCTGCCCTTGTCCTCATGTCTTCCGTGTTCTGGATGGCCCCCTCGGTCAGGCCGTTTGTCCCTGCCCTTGTCCTCATGGCTTGAGTGTTCTGGACGGCCCACTTCATCAGGCCTTTTGTCACTGCCCTTGTCTTCATGGCTTGCTTGTTCTGGGCGGCCCCCTCGGTCAGGCCTTTTGTCTCTGCCCTTGTGCTCATGGCTTGCGTGTTCTGGACGGCCCCCTTCATCAGGCCTTTTGTCACTGCCCTTGTCTTCATGGCTCGCTTGTTCTGGGCGGCCCCGTCGGTCAGGCCTTTTGTCCCTGCCCTTGTCCTCATGGCTTCCATGTTCTGGACGGCCCCCTCGGTCAGGCCGTTTGTCCCTGCCCTTGTCCTCATGGCTTGCGTGTTCTGGACGGCCCCCTTTGTCAGGCCGTTTATCCCTGCCCTTGTCCTCGTGGCTTGTGTGTTCTGGACGGCCCAATTGGTCAGGCCGTTTCTCTCTGCCCTTGTCCTCATGGCTTGCGTGTTCTGGCCCTCCCGCTCGGTCAGGCCTTTTGTCCCTGCCCTTGTCCTCATGGCTTGCGTGTTCTGGACGGCTCCCTTGGTCAGGCCTTTTGTCCTTGCCCTTGTCCTCATGGCTTGCGTGTTCTGGACGGCCCCCTTGGTCAGGCCTTTTGTCCCTGTCCTTCTCCTCATGGCTTGCGTGTTCTGGACGGCCCCCTTTGTCAGGCCGTTTATCCCTGCCCTTGTCCTCGTGGCTTGTGTGTTCTGGACGGCCCAATTGGTCAGGCCGTTTCTCTCTGCCCTTGTCCTCATGGCTTGCGCGTTCTGGACGGCCCAATTGGTCAGGCCTTTTGTCTCTGCCCTTGTCCTCATGGCTTCCGTGTTCTGGACGGCCCCCTCGGTCAGGCCTTTTGTCCCTGCTCATGTCCTCATGGCTTACATGCTCTGGACGTCCCACTTTGTCAGGCCTTTTGTCTCTGCCCTTGTCCTCATGGCTTCCGTGTTCTGGATGGCCCCCTCGGTCAGGCCGTTTGTCCCTGCCCTTGTCCTCATGGCTTGCGCGTTCTGGACGGCCCAATTGGTCAGGCCTTTTGTCTCTGCCCTTGTCCTCATGGCTTCCGTGTTCTGGACGGCCCCCTCGGTCAGGCCTTTTGTCCCTGCCCTTGTCTTCATGGCTTGCGTGTTGTGGATGGTCCTCTTGGTCAGGCCTTTTGTCCTTGCCCTTGTCCTCATGGCTTGAGTGTCCTGGACGGCCCCCTCGGTCAGGCCTTTTGTCCCCGCCCTTGTCCTCATGGCTTGCATGTTCCGGGTGAGGCAGGTTATGTCCTGGATAGTGGGGGGGTGGGAAGCCATGGAATTTACAGTCTTTTCTTGACTGAGCAGGGTGTTTCATTGGATGAGTTATGTTCTGAAATAATTAGAACAAAGACAATACAGCTAGTCAGGACAAATTAACTTGGTTAATTTGTTTATGTTATAGAGAGTTATACCTGAGCTTTGTAAATCTCACATTCCACTTCTGATTCTTCATTTCCAACCTTGGAGGACTTACAGAACCCATACCGCTGGAAAAAGAGACCGTTATTTAAAACTATAGAGCTTGAAAAAACTTTAATGTAAAGACTTAATGAAGTTGCCTGCTGTTACGGCAAGACACTACAGGTGAATAGGGTAAAAATATTATCACCATACTTTTCCCAGTTGGTCAGTCACAATACATTAAGACAATCAGTTTGTATTACAAGTTTTCTGAAATGTTACGTTTAAATATATAAATGATGCATTAACTAATTGAATATGCACTTATTTGATATATATTTCCAGAACAGAAATCTGAACATTGAATAAGGCCAGGTTCAGAATACTTTTTTCATGTTTTTTTTTATATATTACGAGTTATCTAATAACTAATCTAAAATATAAAATACCTAACATATTATATCTCTTTTTATCGCTCCATAAATCAGAAAATACTGTCAACAGCCTGAAAACTAAAATTACATTTTAATATATTTTTCTGAATAAAATTATATGAAAACTCAGGTGAATAATATATCAACATACTGTCATCAACATACAACATATTAAGATAGGGTAAAAAACAGTTAACTTTGGTACATGTAAGTGCTACTGATGTGGAGGGAGCTCAACACTGCGTCATGGTCAGTGCTCGAAGTGGGCCGGTATACACCAGTATGCAGTTACCAGCACTTCTCACATTTTGCCGGTACTTTGCTACTCAGTCAGAGCATCAATGTCACTGTCGGTGAGCAGCAAAAAGTACCAGCGGTACTAACTTTTTTTAAATATACAACTTTCAAATGTGACAATGATGGACATTCCACCTCTGCCAGTAGGTCGGGATTCTCCCACATATTGTTTGCGGCTCCCTAATGCACGCAAATTATATACAATATACCAGAAATCGAGCGAGTGAAAGAGATATGGAGTTACTTTTGTGTCTTTTTTATGCAATCAAACATACTGTGTTTAAGAGCAAAACTAATTATATTGTAATTAAAAATTAAAAGTTTGCAAAAAAATCCTGCTAAGATTGTTTCTTAATTACAAAAATAGTGTTATTGATAACAACTCTTTTCATTGCAAATAAATATACTCTTTCCTTAATGTAGTTCCCAAACTTTTAATTATGTACTCATAAATTTTGTTCTCTGTTCTGCTGTCAATTTTTGCAGTACCATCATTGTTCCCCAATTCTGAGGATTGTTTCTTCCAGCAGTACAATGATCCATGCCACAAAGCCAGGTCAATCAAGGTGTGGAATGAGGACTTCTTCAATTGCGCCAAGAGTGGCGTAAAGTCACACAACAGCAAAGACTGGTGGAGAGCATGTCAAGACGCATGAATGCTATGATTGAAAATCAGGGTTATTCCACCAAATATTGATTTCTGAACTCTAAACCCTAAGTTGACTCTAAGTTAAAACATTAGTATTGTTTTGTTAAAAAAATGAATATGAACTTGTTTTCTTTCTGACCAGTTGTCATTTTCTGCAAATAAATGCTGTAAATGACAATATGTTCATTTGTAATTTGGGAGAAATGTTGTCAACAAAAATGTTTATTTTACTCAAACACACCTATAAATAGTAAAACCAGAGAAACTAATAATTTTGCAATGGTCTCTTATTTTTTTTCCAGAGCTGTATATACATTTACCCGCCTATTATTAACCATCTTCCTAGAAAATAAAACATGTCCTTCTTACATTGTGAATTCTTTTGACAAATTCATTATATAATCGCACACGATTAGAGGTCCATTATAGCTATAATTACCACATAACAATTTATGTAAGTAGTAAGTACATTTTATTTATAGAGCACATTTAAATTCAGCTTACACTGACCAAAGTGCTGTACAAAACAATCATAAAATACAGTAAAGTATAAAATAAAATACACTAAAATAAAATAAAATACAAATTAAAATCCAAGATAACAATACTAATCCATAAATTAAAAATCAGGAAAGGCCATAGAATAAAGACGCATTTTAAGTCTAGACTTAAAAACCGAAATAGATAGAGCACTCTTAATGTCAGGCGGCAACTGATTCCATAACCGTGGAGCAGCTACCGCAAAGGCTCTGTCACCTTTAAACTTAAGTCGTGACCGTGGGACATATATAGCTTTATTAGCAGTTCTGAGGGACTTAGGAGCAGAATTAAATGAGATAAGATCAGAAATGTATGATGGGGCTTGTCCATTAAGTGCTTTAAAAACAATCAACAACATTTTGAATTGAATTCTAAAGGAGATCGGAAGCCAGTGGAGCGACGCTAAAATTGGAGTGATATGATCATGTTTTTTTGCACCAGTTAACAATCTGGCCGCTACATTCTGGGCCATCTGCAAACGAGCCAGTGAAGATTGAGGAAGACCTTGGTATAAGGAATTACAGTAGTCCGATCGTGATGTGATAAATCAACACTTTCCTTTCAAGATTTGGAAAAAGTTATTCATGCATTTAAGTCTAGAAATGATTCTCAATTGATAATAGCTGTTTTTAACAACTGAGCTAATTTGCTGTTCACTTTTGAGTAAAAAATAACACCTATTTTTTTGCATGTGACTTAACATATGGAGTGAGACTGTCTAAGTTACTAACTATAGAGTTTCTGGTTTTAGAGGGACCAAAACTAATCACCTCAGTTTTTTTCATTAGTTAGCTGGAGGAAATTATTCACCATCCAGGTTTTAATGTCTTTCAGACAGTCCATAAGAGACTGCAGAGAATGTCTAGATTTGAATGGAACATATAACTGAGAATCATCCGCATAGAAATGAAAAGAGATTTTATATTTCCTAATTATATTACCAAGTGAAAGCATGTACAGATTAAAAAGTAATGGCCCCAGTATGGACCCTTGAGGAACCCCACAAGGGAGAGAAACTGATGATGAGGAAAACTGGCCGATAGCCACTGAAAGTGTCCTGGATTTAAGATATGACTTAAACCACGATAATGCCATATCCTTAATACCTACCCAATGTTCAAGGCGTGACAAAAGGATGTCGTGATCAACTGTGTCAAAAGCGGCACTTAAATCCAATAAAATAAATTCTGCATTTTCACCGCAAGTAGCAAATCATTCATCACTTTTAGCAAAGCCATTTCAGTGCTATGATAGGCTGTAAAACCTGATTGAAATGGTTCAAATACCAGAGTCGAATTTAAAAACGGCAGTAACTGTGATTGGACAAGTTTTTCCATAACTTTTGAAAAAAAAAGGCAATTTTGAGATAGGACGATAATTATTCTAACATTTTACATCAGCATTGGGCTTTTAAAGCAGCGGGTGGACAACTGCATGCTTTAAAAATGCAGGAACAGTGCCAGAGACTAAGCAGGAATTGATAATTGTGATAATTAATGAGATTAATACTTTTTTTTCTCTCTCAAAACTCACTTTAAAACACCATCTAGTGTTTGTAATATAATCTGATTGCGATCTAAAGTGGATTTTGATTATATGAAGCAGAAATATATTATTTGTGACTTTCTATAGTTGGCTAAATGTTGCACCTGTTTAGCGTTTCTCATATTAACATATTTATTCTTATACAAATAAAATGCATGAAAAACACATACAAACCACACAGTCGTAATCGTTTATTTACTGGCTTCATGTTTCATCTGCAGAAATGTTATCTATTATTTATGTACAGACAGAACACGAAATATCATCATAGACGGGGGGAAGTTATGACACGTAAGATGGTTGACAGATCTGAATCGAATCATCTGTCTGTGATTAAAGTCATGCGACCAGAAACAGACAAAGTATTATACATTACTTCAAGCTTAAATTACTTTTTTTTTTTTAAGAAATATGAAGTAAATATGTGGGAATCCATCAATATTTCTCCAAATATGCACACTTTTGGACTAATGGATGTTTATAGTGAAGCCCTGTGATCATAAATAAATTGTCTTATGTCTTATTGTCTTAATGTCTTATTTAATTTGAAATGTCAATAAATACTATACCGGTTTGATTTAGCACATTTTGCCTGTACTGAGTCCTGACAGAAATTCTAAATCCTTCTAATGATATACAGTAGTTTGTCAAGACTACACAAGATTATCATGGTAACAGCATGCAGCGCATATAAAATAATAACCAGGACCACTGAAAATCTTTCAAAGTTAACTGGTTACCTACATTCACTTAAGTGTGCTCTACAGGAGATTATGACATTAGACAATGACGTGTTGTTCTTCACACCACAACCTCACTCTCTGCGGGACAGCACAGTGGGTGTGGCTATTGCGCCAACCAAGAGTGACTGATAGAAACACATCTTACCACGTTACCACCCACTGAGATGCAGTTTTACTCGCAAGCAAAACTTTTCAACTCGCAAACAAAGATTTTAGACCCGCAAAAAAATTACAGCAGAGCAGAGAGCAAAATTTATGAGTGTGTAATGAAAATTTTGGGAACTACATAAAGGAAAGATAATATTTATTTGCAATGCAGAGAGTTTTGTTATCAATATTTTTGTAATTGAACAATTCTTAGCAGGAATTTTATTTGTAACCTTTTATTTTATTAATTACAATATAATTAGTTTTGCTCTTAAACACAGTATGTTTGATTGCATAAAAAGACACAAAACTAACTCCATTGAGAAAAGCCCTCTTTCCAGGGTATGTTTTTGGTTATTCAAACACTAGCTGTCAGCCGTGATTTGTTTATTGTTTATAATTTCCATTTGCGTTTAGAATGTATCTCCTCTGACAACTTGTGTTCGGATTTCATCACAATCATCAGTTTCATGGGAGCGCTAAGTGTGGTGCACAAATGCTACTGAATGAACCAACCCAAGTAACACAGCTTATGAGCAAACAACTGAAAATGAGAAGAGGGGACAGCAAATTTTTGGTGCAAATGTTATTTAAATTGAAATTAGCTAACTATCTGTCAAATATGTATATATATATATATATATATATATATACACACACACACAGTATAAGATAGATAGATAGATAGATAGATGATAGATAGATTGTGTATTATACTCTGTAAAATGCAA